ACACAAGCTAATTTTGTTGAAAAAAAGTGTACATGTGTCAGCCCTGTGATTGACTGGTGACCTTTCCAGAGTGTGCACCACCTCTTGTTGTTAGGCTCAAGCCGCCTAGCGACCATGAACAGTATAAGTGGTCACAGACAATGTATGGATAGTGTATGTATGTGTTGGCTTCATACATCTGCACAAAATGGAATATCCCCTCATTCTTGTTTGCAAAACTGCTCAAGCTCGAGTTGCACAAGGGCCACAAATTCTTAACTGGAATTTGGACTCTGACTCAGCCACTCCTGGACATAAGAATTGTTGTTTTCAGCCATTCCTGTATAGCTGTAGCTTCATATTTAAGGTTGTTTCCTTGCTTGAGAAAAAAAAATTCTCTCCCTAGTTGCAGACTGCAGCAAGCTTTCCTCCAGGATTTCTCTCTTCCTGCATTCATTTGACCCCCCACCCTCACAGGGCCTCCAGGGCCTGCTGCAGAGAAGCATCAGCATGATGTTGCCTCCACCAGGATTTATGGTGGGGCTGCTGCGTTTCTGCTGATGTGCAGAGTGTTTAGTGTTTACTATGAGTATGACGCCTAAAAACACATTCTTGATCTAATCAGACTATTCCACTGTTTCCACTTTGTTTCTGAGTCTCTCACACATGCTCTGGTTAACGTTTTTTTTTTCTCAAAACTTTAAGACTTTCTCTTTGCCACAATGTGAAGCACCTGGACACCTGCAGCTCCTTAAGAGTTGCTGTAGGCCTTTTGTTGGCCTCCTTCAGTGCCCTTCTCATGGGGATGCTCAGTTTTTTAGGAGGCAGATTTGCAGTTATTCCATACTTCTGATCGACCTCACTGTACTCTGAGGGATATTCGGTGCTATTGAAATTTTCTTGCACTTTTCAATAACTTTGTCAAAAATTTGTTTGGTGTGTTTCTTGGTCTTCATGGCCTAGTCTTCATCTAGTTTGCCAGGAAATCGACTTTAAATTGACCTCCTAGATACAGATGTGAGAACCTACGTCTTCAGTTAGTTCACTTCTAAAATCAAGTGCATAATAAAGCAGTCAAATACTTATGTAACAAAATATTTTGTGTCATTATATTTGCAAGTTGTTGGCAGCATGATGAGGGTTCCTGGTTCAAACCCAGGGTGGGGGTTCTGTGCAGAGTTTGCATGTTCTCCCCGTGTCAGCGTGGGTTTTCTCCAGGTACTCCGGCTTCCTCCCACAGTCCAAAGACATGCAGGTTAATTGATAACTCTAAATTGTCCGTAGGTGTGAATGTGAGTGTGAATGGTTGTCTGTCTCTATGTGTCAGCCCTGTGGTAGTCTGGTGACCTGTCCAGGGTGTACCCAACCTCTCACCCAATGTCAGCTGGGATAGGCTCCAGCCCCTGTGCGACCCCTAACAGGATAAGCAGTTACAGAAAATGAATGAATATTTGCAATTTGCTTTGTAGGGATTTGTTTTCATTTAGACACTAGAGTCAAGAGTGTTTTTCTGTCATGAAATTCAAAACTTTATAAAAACATTTCCTACTGCCACAACACAATAAAGTGTAAGACACAAAAAACAAAAACAAAACAATCAATCCCTGTGATTTAATGATTTTTTTTTTTAATTAAGACAATTAAATCCTGGGTTGATTGTATAAATACTAATAATAAATAAATACTGAATAAATTCATCGCTCATTTGGAGATTTAATTCTCACCTTTGCAGTTGATAGATCTAAAGGTAAATTTCTGTGGCTTTAAGTATAATATTTCATATCATAACTACTAACTAACAAATGAATTCATTCACTGATTGATTGACTGGAAAAAATATTTGATTAAGTAATTAATTTAGCAAACTGAACTATAATGTACTAATAGACTAGTTTAGTCAACTAAAACTTTTAATTCTTCAGATGATTCATGAGAGGTTTGCAGAGGATCTAAATGGGGCACTGGGGGACACTGTACAAGAGCAAAACATCTCACTACATACAGGCTCTCACTATAGGACAACTTGTCCTCACCACTGAGTGAACAGGAATAAAAAACCCTAATGTCGTCAGTACTTATGATACTGCAGGAAAATGCCATTTCATTGCTATATTACAGCTGAGATATCATAATAGTCAATAATATTTTATTTTATGGTTATTATCATTATCACTTATTTTAATCATCATTACTATTATATTATCATCATCATTAGTAGGCTAGTATTTCTGTTATTAGTGTGCATGCTTATATTTCTGTCTATTCTAAATAATTCAGCCCCCATTTACACATTAACAGCCTCTACCCTACCTGCACAACTAATTTATTAAAAATAATTAGCTGACAGGTCAAAGCTGTGTCTTTAAACATGCTGGAACATAAAACTTTTCTCTAGAAACAAGAACTAAACTATTTCAAAAGAAAAAAAAGATTGCTAATTCTCAGAGTAAGGTTTTGAAATGAAAATTTGTTGGCCAACCAAAAACTTGCTCTTGAAAGGCAACCTTAGAGCAAACTGTGTGGAGACTGCTGCAGTTAACAGCACTGACAGGAGTGAATCTGTTGTCACTGTAGTGACTAAAGTCCAGTTAAGAGTTTTAATTTTGGTTTAATTGTGCACATTAACAGTTAGGAAACTTAAGTCTTGAACAGCACTGGGAAAAAATGCTCATATCAGATTGCTGTCTCCCTTTCCATTTAAAAATAGCATCAAGGAAAACATTTGGAAAACAACAGTGATAGTGATGTGAACAGGGGCGTAACATCAAATTCTGGGCCCTATGCATAAACACTCTCTGTAGGCCCCTGTCCCTCCTCTCTTGATTCATATCTCTCTTACACACGTTTTGATTTTTTCTTTCACAAAGTCAGTTTTCTTTCTTTCCCGTTCTTTTTTTTGTGAAACCCTGATTTCCATGTCTAGGGGAAAAACATGATAGTGTACATGGGTGCTGCGGCAGCATTAGCGGCCACTTAAATGACCCTGGCTGCATTTAAAGACGAATCCAAGTGCAGGCTAAAGGCTCATTCTTTATGTAAGAAAAAAAGATAAGTCCGTTTTAAATGTTGTAAGCGTCACTTCCCTCATACTTGCATGCGTCCTTTATGATGGCATAGATACAGCCCATAGATGGCAATAAAGGGCAGGGTCAAAAGTTTCATACAACAACAAACGAGGTGGTCGTGGACAGAGGCAGTGTTATAGTCTGTGTGACCATATAATGTCACTTCCTGACATGTGGATGGGGAATTCTTTTCACTATTTTTACTATATATTACCGTATATTATTATATATTACAGCTTTGTTATGTTATTTAAATTTCTTCGTCATCTCCTATGGTGGATTCTCACTTGAACTATGCTACACTGCCTCCATGACCTCTGGTAGTACTGCTATGTTTCACCTGTCGCTGTAAGCTTTCAGAAAATGTGCACATATAGTATGAATGAACGTAGAGTATAGACAGATGGCTTTGTCTGTCTATGTGTCTAACATTAAGCATAAATGAGCCCTACAATGTTTATTTATTTATTCAAAGTTTATTTGTATAGGGACAAGTATGTTGCATACATGAATGCCACACAACACAGCATTTATAGCCTACGCTAATATGCAATGCCCATCCAGCTGGGCCTTAAGATACAAAAGACTCTGCAATGAGAACACAACTAACAGTAAAGTACAAACAATAAAAATACAGACAGAACAAGACAAGACACAAACTGCAATATGTAATTAGCACCATGGGATAGGAAGCACCAAATCATTCATGATAGCATGACTAATTCCTCTTAAAAAACTGTTTTAGCTTGAGTTAAAAGTGATCTAAGTCAGGATCCAATTTGAGCTCTGTAGGTAAAGATGTGCCTTTAATGGGTGAGAGGGGTCTGAGAGAGGAGCTACTAGTTTTGTCATATTACATTCTATTACGTCTTTCACCTTATTTATTCTGCCATTTTTTATATTTCATTTGTAGATTTTCAGATTTTAACACAAACAATACAAAGAACAGGTACAAATCACCGTGGAAATGAACAGTACAAAAACAAAAGACGACAAACACTTTGGGCCATTCTTGACAAACAGGACATGAATGGTTGCCATGTCTTATCAAAGATTACAGAGCCGAGAGAAACACTGCACTTTCCTCTCTCCACGTGTAACAAGGTTGTGATTTCTGCCAACCAGGTCATAAAAGAAGGTGCATCCTCAGTTTTCCAAAGAGTTAAAATATTCCTTTGTGCCACAGCCATGCCGTATTGTATTGTCTTTTGTTGCAAGTGAGATAAAGCTGATAGATGGCAGTGCATGGGTGTGGTATAATATCACAGTGTATACTTCTGAAAAGCACTTAAGTTCTGCTATTTATTAAATTTAGTTGTGACACTACAGAAGTGTATTTCTGCCACATGTGAAAAGTTTATTGTTCTAAAAAGAAGTTTTTCACACTATAACATTATAGTTTCACATTATAACAATATAGTTTCACATTATAACATTATAGTTTCACATTATAACAATATAGTTTCATGTTATAACAGTATAGCTTCACGTTATAACATGATAACTTATATTGTAAGAACATGAAAAGTTTCACGTTATAACAATATAGTGGCATGTTATCCACGTTTTTGGCCATGTTGATGCCTGTTCATTGCAAATACCTAAGTGTCAAATCACAACTGGAGTGTATGGGTGCACCTCCTCCCGAGACTAAATATTGCATAATAATGTGGAACTTTTAATGTCCTAACAATATAAGTTATCACGTTATAATGTGAAAATATGTTGTTATAACCTGAAAAACTTCTTGTTAGAACAATAAACTTTTCACATAATACTGACCCATTATTTTTTTCCCTGGGGTGGCAGCAATAAGCTTCCATAGTGGCACTAATTACTTAAAAAAAATATACAAGCAAAACCATGCTTCTTGAGGGCCCCCTTTCCCATTAGGGCCCTGGTAACTGGTTCCACTTTGCCCCCACTACAACACTCCCCAAATGGCTGTGATAGGTGAACACGGAAACTGTGCACGCCTAATCACTGACTGAAACGAAAGCTGTAATCTGATCAATATGCTCAATAATATAGACCTGCAGTCAGAGCATGTTTTTATAATGTTGTCACTTCACATGAGAATTTTTTCCTCTGCGTAATTTCCAGGCTCCCTTTTTCCCCGCGTAACTTCATAGTCGGCCAACCATTATTTTCCGTCTTCTTCCCAGACTTTTTTCCTTTTTCTTTCTTTTTTTTCATGTAGGCTAATATACAGCCAGGCCGGCGCTGCAATTTCGGAATCTGCCCTTGTATATGGCGGACGAAATTTCCACAGGAGGAACCGCAACACAAACACCCCGCGCGAGGCACAAACGGAGAGCTCGCCACGGACTGAAGTAAACCTCGGCAAATTCATGATTCATTACGCCATTACTCTTTCCTAAAATGTAACGTAGCGTGTTGCGGAGGGGGTAGAGAGGAAAAAAAAGAGACGCTGTGGTGAAAATTTGTAACATTTGGAATTTCCTCATAACTAATTCACAATTTTTTTTTTTGGAGGAAGCAGTTGTGCAGTCACCTCTGGTCGGGGAGGGAAGATTTCTGGAGCGGGGAGCCTGTTTCGCATGAGCTGCATCGTTTTTGGAGGTATGTCAGACCGCTGTGTTTTCTTTTTTTCTGATTTTAGAAATCCTAAATTTGAAGAAATTTCCAGCAGCGGGTGTTAAGTTTCAAGCTGCTCTACTTAGCAAGACGAGACCTGGCTGTCTTTTCGGACTCATGTTGCCAGCCAGTGGACCAGGTGCAGGCTTTGAAGCCATCCGAAATAGTCCTAATCTGTTGATGTGTTTTTTGTGCCTGAATTTTCGTAATGAAGTTTCCGTGTAACTGCTGACTAGTCTCCTGTGCAGCTAGTTTGCTCGCATGTAGCGTTAACAGCACTTAGATAAAACACGCTGTGTATATTTCGGTGGAGCAAGGGGACCAGGCGATAGTGGCAACATGAAGGACGATGAGGGGAGGAACAATCTGAAACACAAAAACCTCCTGCAGCCATGTTTTGTGAATTTTCCTGCAAATTTGAGCAGAGCTTTCGGAGTTTCTCCCCTGAAACTCACACAGCAGTAACGCCAGCTCTGCTCGTGTTTGACGGCTCCGTGTTCACGATAGACAGACAAGAAGAAACACCAAAGTGTCGTCATGTCTAAACACATTTCTAATTTTATTTTTAGGAAGATAGGGGGATTTTAAATCTGAGTGTCATTGGCGCCACCTGTAGGCAGTCATTTTGGAAATTAAAAAAATTGTAATGAGACTAGTTTTGCGACTTGTTTATTAAATTGAATGTTAGTTTGTGCACATATAAACCCGTGTTTTAATGCTTTTGAAATAAATAGACGCCTCTTTAAATGGCTGCCACAATTTTAAACTATCCTGTGCTTTTCATGCCATTTAATGGAAATGGCATTTAAATGCTGCATTTAAAGACCTGTGCAAGTGAATGCATCTCCTTTGATTTATCCTGCACTCACATTATTTTGTACATGTTAAATCCTCCACAGCAAACAGTTTGACAGTGTATGAGATAAAGACAAAAAATCTTCTTAATCCACCTCAATCTTTTTTCTCTTACACACACATTAGCTGTTAATACCCAGTTTCTTATTGCATGCTTATGAATAAATGTGTATTTTTGTGTTATGCAGGCTATACAGGCATAATTTACTACTTAGTAAACATGGAACAATTTGGACTTTTATTCCCAGAGATTGGAAATGTGTAAGTGGAAAATAACTATCCAAAGTGTACTGAACAGCACTGGAAGAAGAAAGACCATGTCAGCATAATTTTAGGGCAGGAAAAACAATCACAACCAGTGGCTCTACTGTTTATATTAATCCTGCAGACGCCAAACAGTTTCCCATCTTGCACGGCTTGCTTTTTATTTTAATGTAAGGGGAAACTGCGGAGGCCATTTTGCAGTGGGTAATTTTAATGCTGACCTTCAAATCTGTATAAATTTAAAAAGAGCTGGTGGAAATTGTATGGTTGGTATGCAAAAATCCGGGTGTAAATTCTGACCTTTGCTTGCAAAGTCTAATCAAAATGCAGGAGTTTGAGTTAAAGTACAGGAGTGAAGAGAGGCAACCAGTGTCATGGGTTTAATAGGGTTGGATCACTCTGTGAGTGATGGGAATGTTTATATGCAGAATACCTGAAGGACCGAGTAATAAGTTATAAAGCTCTCAGGAATAATGCTGCAGTGTTGCAATGAAAAACACCTTAAACCCTGATGTGGTTAATGGGAACTGCATTCTGGGAGCGTTCTCGTTTTAAGCAAGGTAAGAGGAATGCTGGTCTGTCTGTACTTAAAAGAACAAAAGCTTTGATTCACGGAGGATATTTGGAGCGAATAGTTTGGATGGAGAGGTGAAACTTGTCCTTCCAGGCACTGATAAACATGAGATGGTGAGGGATCATATCGCAGCCTGTGGGTTTCAGTGTTTGAAACGTAGTTGCTGCTTTAATTGTCATTAACTAAGTACAGAGGTTTTGTTTTCCGTTTAAAGGGCTAAGCGGTGAAACACAAACAGTTTCTGCCTTTGATGTCATGCCAGTTCTTTTTTGTTAATGTACAATTACAGATTCCTGATTTGTGCTTAGATGTGTCTGAGCAAACATACATCCTTTATAAACACAGCGAACATCTTGTGTTCAGTCATTTTCTTAGTGGCATGTTGAAAATGTCTGAAAATGGCTTCACTTAAATTAGTCTCTGGGGAATGGCTTTTCAGGGGTTGGGGCTGCTGCATTAAAAAAAATTCTGTGCATTCTGCACATATTTTTCCTGCCTCTTCCTTTGTAAAAATGAACCTTATTGGTTTCATGAATAATGCATAAGGACGTTCAATTGCTGCAGCAATGAAAATTAGGCCTGTTTACGTGCAGTGGTTATGTACACAGAAGCCTCTTTTTTTCCTTGACCATTTTCTGAAGGTAGAGCAGAGCCTGAGTAGCTTTTCTGAAATACAAATTTTCAGCAGGGCAAATCTCATTTCTTTGAGTGAAAAGGGGAGGGGTGAAACTCCCGCGGGTTTAATGAATCCATAAATCACAATAGTGCCAGGTTTGCTGCGCCTGCGTCAGTGTGCAGTGCAATTTTGATTTTCATCAAAAATTTAATCTGCCAGCCTACAAGGGTTTAGCAGCAGACCGGATGCCGCCCTGAATTTCTAATTTTAGGGGCCTGATCTTTCAGGATTTATTTTTGTATAATTCAAGTCTGCTTTTCAATATCTCTTGTTATTAAATTTTAATTCGTGGCATTAACATATAGATTGAAAAGGTTTTTATGGGGGTTTTGAGTGTATGCTGATGGAATTTTACTAGACGACACAGTTTCTTTTTCCAGAGCATCCTGTGTGTGTGTGTGTGTGTGTGTGTGTGTGTGTGTGTGTGTGTGTGTGTGTGTGTGTGTGTGTGTGTGTGCGAGGTGGGGGGGGGGGGGGGGGGGGGGGGGGGGGGGGGGGGGGGGGGGGGGGGGGGGGGGGGGGGTGAAGGAGGGGAGGGGGGGATTTATCCATTTCTCTGCATTATTGCTTTTTTGAAATCATTGGTCATACACCATCTTGGAAGACATTTATTACAGAGGACAGAAAAATGTGCATTTGATTAAAGAAAGAGGAAAAGCAAAACATTTAGTGTGAAACAGGTTTTGGTCAACCCCTGCTCCTCGTCACTGACTCTGCTCCGGATAATACAAACATGCAGTGAAAGCAGTGATTGAAGTGACCCCCACCATCCCCCATTTTAGCTGATTCCTATTTTTAATCCCTCCAGAGTGGAACCATTTTCATGAGCCTTAAACAAATTTGTATTTTATATTTGGAATCTCTATTCCAGTCCACTTAACATGCAGAGCACAGTGATTTTTGGCTTTGCAAGGTACAATTCAAAGTAAGAAAATCTCTCTCTAAGTTCGACGCACTAGATTTTTTTTTTCTCTTTGCTTTAACCAAGCACAATGATTGATTTACTTCATTATTGTGCAGAGGCAGATACTGTACTGCCCAAATATAGGCCAATTATTTTAAGTACCTCGACTAAGCGCTGAATTCTGAACAGAGGTATGTCCTAGAGATGTTTTCCTTGTATGCCTAACCTCCTTATTCTGTAACCCCAGATACATTTAGCACAGTGATATAATATATTGTTTTTAATATGCATGCATTGGCATTTTAAAACACAGCTGGACCAAATCACAAAGGGAAAACTCGTTTAATAGTTTGACATAAATCACAACACCACCCACCCTTTGCTTACTTTAGTGCCTCTTACAATGATAGCATCTGTAGATCCTTGATATGCAAATAGCATTTGATGATTTAATTTAACTATATTTCCCTTCTTTCTGTTTTAGTTGGTTTAGGTTGTGCTTTATTTGTAGGGAACATCAAGTAAGTGTGCATCTGGTTTAGCCTAGATTTTCCTTGCGCATGGTGCTGTAGGTTACAGTATATCAGAAGCCCCAGACTATGAAAGAACAGAAGGCCAGATGGCTAATTTTGCATTTTGACTTTAATTAGAGGAAAACAGGCCACAACAGGCATTTCATATATTCAGGGTATGCATTTAAAGTGTTGCACAGGGAATGTTGCAGTGGATGACTAAGAGATTGATCTAATTCAGATATGCATGTGTCTTTGCCATTATTTCATTAGATCACAGATGACAAAAGTCTCGTAATTTAGCCATTATTGCATTTTAATTTCCATCGACTGACTCCTGTCAGCCACAGAACAGGCTGGTGGTGCTTAGTGAGCACTGAGGACCTTTGTTAGCCTTCTGTGAGCAAATGGTGCTAACACAGAATTTCCTATTGTTTTTCCAAACAAAAGCAGACTTTTCCAAGATAAAGAAAACACAGTTGCTGAATGTTATGGACAGTGGTGAAAGAACTACTCAAATCCTTTACTAAAGTAAAAGTACCAATGCAAGTACAGACCCTACTTAAATAAAGGTATGTAGGTATTATCAGTAGAATATAAGTATAGAAATAAAGCATACAACCTGCAGAAGTATGGCCCCTGTTACTGTTCATCAATGTTTAAGCAGCATTGCACTATAGCTAGTCAAAGTTTAGCCAGTTCCAACACTTAATATACAATTGCATAAGTTAGTCTAGTGGTTTCCAACCAGGGGGTCGGGTCCCCTTAAGGGTCACAAGTAAAAGACAACGTTCTGCAACACTGATCTGTTTTTATTTTTTGGATTTTCTCTAATCTTTGCATTTTAGTGAAATAATGGTTGATTTTGATGTCTTTAGACTTCAAAGAGTTATTCAAATGAAACCACGTGGGACGTTTAGAGGGATAATGTCCCTTACATGTAGCAAAGGCCCCAACCTGACACCAAGCCAAATGGTTAGGAACCATTGGTATAGTTTTTGACAGTGTATTGCTTTTCATGATTTTATGATTTGTTGTTTATGTAGAATTTTAATCTGTAAATTAATTATACCTTATATACAGTATTTCTGTCTAGAATGTATTTAAGTAAAAGTATAAAGTAACATTAAATGGAGAAATACAACTAAAGTGCAAGTACGTCAGTTTTACCTGAGGTAAAGCTATTTAGTCCCACCACTG